ATTAGCATGTATGTGATTGTTTCTTGAGATTAAATGTCTGTGCAAACACACCTTTTCATGTGTATATGCAATTTTACATACAGGGAAACAACTAAATGCAAAGTTACATGTAAGCAGATAAATCGGTTTAGTTCTAATTTGTGGTTACTGTTGACATCTGAAATTAAAAAGTCCAAAATCATCCATTTTCTTTTTAAAATTACTAAATAGATAAGGATCCAGAATACATACATACATACATACACACACACACACGTTTATTGCAAAAACAGATAACTCCGTTTTTTTTATTTTTAAAATTCATGTTTTTTATTATGCTATCATGTTTTTATTGTGTTAGTTAGCTAGTATTTTTTACCTAATCAAAATAACCCAACTGGAGTTTGATTGAGATTAATTGGAATGCACAATGAAAAAACATGATTTTTGAGTCTGATTTTGCAAATGAACTCTTCATACATATATATATATATTTTTTTTTTAAGCTACACCTGTTTATTGTAGTAATAAGCAATACAAATAGGTCAGTTTGAACTAGTTTGCCGTATTATTCTTTAGGATATTTATGACACATCTCAATGTGTATGTTGGACACACGTGCTGTGATTTTGTCCGATGATAACCTGTTGTTTTATCATCATTTCAGGCTGTTGTTTCAGGCAGTCGCTTCAATGGTGCTGGAACAACAAATGCAGAAAGAATGATCTGAGGTAATGCGGGGGTGTGATCACCCATCCCGTATCTTCTGTCTTCCCAAACAATTCCACATCAGTGACATCACCCTGATAATTACGCCACACCAGTGCAATCACTCGGCAAATGTGTACAAACCATGACAACATCTTGACTGGCTTTACAACCGTCTGAAATTCCGCCTGTGAGTGGACTACACTGAGCCCGGTGGAGCAGAAAAACCAAACCGCTGCTTTTGATTGGTCTTTGTTCTTCCTGTGTTGATGGAAAAAGTGACAGTAGTTGCCCAGCCACTAAGCAGCTGGTGTGGGCCGTCCTCTTCTCACCTGACCTGATGCAGGCAGCTGAGGAGGGGAGATGGTCTGGTTAGACATCTCAAGCCACTAGCAGACGTACTGTTGTCAGAAATGGCAGCTGGAGCCAAGCAACGTCAGAGCGTCATCAGCACCAGCCCTAATTAAGTTATTAATTTGGGATGCGTTTTAAAGTCAGCACTAATCCACATTTGCAATGCATCTGATGACTCAACAATAACCTTTTTTCAGACACAAGTAAAACTTGTGGTTTAAAAGTGCTTTAGACATGCATTTGAGTGTAACGGAGTAAAAAAAATTATAAATAAACAACAAAAAAGTCCATTTAAAATAATAAAAAAGTAAGACAGGGACTTGGTTCTATGCATCAGTTGTTGAATGGTTTGAGGCCAATGAACGTGAGATTGAGGTGACAGGCATTACATTTTGATTAAAAAAATAAATAAGGATGAATTGCTGCAATAAGTTTAATAACATGCATTTTCATTTCATGCCAACTTTAGATCACTTAACTTTAGCAGCCAAAATAAAATAAAAACATAAATCAATTTTATTAAAATAAATTAACATAATAAAATAAATAAAACTGAAAACTCTGGGAAGGGGAAAAACACCACCACCAACAACAAAAAAATTTAAAATAAACATAATAATATATATAATAAAATAAAACTTGAATAACACTGCCATAATGATTCAAAATATATGCACACATTACAAGAGAGTGAGGGAAAAAACGAATGCGAGTCTTTGTTATATCAACAGCAAAGTTTCTAGAAAAATTAAAACTTTTAAACATTTTCTTTAGCATAACATGCACTGAGTCACAATAAGACCAAAGACATGTATTAAGAAATTAAATGTTTTTTTTTAATACTTACATCAAATGGAATGGTCATGTGTTTGGCATAAAGACAAACATCTGAGATCGAAGACAACTGACCACAGGACAATGTCAAGACTATAAAGTAGATCTCCGTAAACAAATGGAACCAGAGAGAGTCAGACTCAAAGAGAGATGATCAAGCTTCACTGCTCCTTCAAGAATCTCTCCTCAGAGTCTGATATCAGCAAGGACTCTGGGTTCAGATGTCCACAGGTATGAAGGTCTGGACAGATCGCTTCTCCGCCGAAGTCTCAGCTCTCAACACACTCATATATCTGACCGCACAAGTCTGCACTGCTTCATTTAATACTAGGATTTAATTCCAAGTGCTGCCAAAGACATGTTCACTCACTGACAATTAGCAGTACTGACAGACTACTTGAGTTTAATACAAACAGACAAACTGCTGTATTGAGGAATTGAACAGACAAACTCACACTCCTCTTTTAACCGGTCACAACGGATTCATGTTTCAATGGCACACATATCCAGTTAGAGCACTGCCAACACTTTACATAAACAACATAACTACTCTCAATGAGACAGACGCAACACTGTGAGAAACGTCAGTGATGAAGCTTCTCTTCCTCTTCCTCCTTGCACACATCACATTGTAACATAATGATTCTCTGACTCACTTCCCAGAATTCTCTGAGGCAACAACCACACACAAGTTCATTGTTACTGTGCAGCACAGAACAGAGAGCAGATATACGATCAGACTGATCTGACAGCAGAGGCTTCAGATTCTTACACTGCAGTGTTTCCCCTGCCATTATATTAGGGGGGCGGCCCGCCCACCCAACGGCACCCCCAGCCTCCCTTGAAGGTCAAGTTAATGTTATTTAATTATATTTTCTCTATAGCGCCAGATCACAACAGAAGTCATTTAAAGTTACCTTTCCTATAGAACAGGAAACCTTGTTCTTTTATTAAGCAAACTAAATAGCCTTATGTTATTTACACGACAGCATGTAATTTCGGTCTCTACGTTATGGTCGTGCTCTCTGCATCGCCAACAATGCGCGCATGCGCACACACACTTTTATTAAGCAAACTAAATAGCCTTATGTTATTTACACGACAGCATGTAATTTCGGTCTCTACGTTATGGTCGTGCTCTCTGCATCGCCAACAATGCGCGCATGCGCACACACACACACACACACACACACACACACACACAAGTGAGCCCACTAGTATTTGTAAATATTAAGCCGCAAAACGATTCATATTTTATATGAATTCTGCGTGTCTCTGTGTTAATGATTGGCGCACACGCGCGGTTTTGTGTAGTACTCGTACTAAAACGCTTGTGAGCTTCCGGTGATATTAACGTCTGCCGTCTCACTAATGAGGACATAAATACATGAACAACATCTCCAGAACTGCTCTGAGAGTCACTTCATGAGCATTTGACCGTATTATTTGAGTAAAACTATCATCATATCATACACACACAGAAATGTAAATGTATTCACGGCAACCCGTCAAAATAAAAGTTTGGTTTAACTTGAAGGCATTGGCAGAAATATATTACTACTGTTGAGTAGAATGTATGTAAAAGACTGCTACTATACTACTAAAATGATTAAAACCTTATTTTTAAGGAATAAGCATTCAATATTTCTTCAATGTTTTAATTGTAATATTAAATGACCTTTATTTTCCAAAAAATAAAATGTTTAATTTTCATTACTTAAAAGATAGATTAAATTCATGTTTTATGCCTTAAAACAAAATGTAAATACACAACACAGAATTTCTGAGCAAAAGAATCATAAGGCTATTGTAAGAATAAATGAAACTTGTTTTATGCTTTCAAATAATTAGACATGCTAAAACAGAATTTGGTTACAATAAAACATAAGGTTGGAAAAATAAAACATTTAATAGGGACCTCAACATGTAATATTTGTTAAACTTTTAATAAATTGATGTTAAATTGTTTAAGTTTCATGATTTTAATTAATTAGACATGCTTTTTGATTAATAAAATGTAATTTAACCATTAAAAATGTTAATTTGGCATTAGTCATTTGGGACCGTTAGCTGCCCAAACATCAAAAACTAGATGAACTGATTTCTGTTGGATTGCAAAAGATTTCAGTACATCATGTGCAAACACATCTCTGTCGATGACAGTCTTATGACTGCACAGTTACGTAATGTATCACACTCATCTCAATCAAGATAGCTTTTGTATGGCGTTTCACACAGCTGTACCAATCTACAGAGTCTAAGATAAGAAAGTACCTCATGAAAGTGGTCTACACAATCACTAAGACCTGGATCATGTCTTGCTGACTGCAAAAACACCTCAAATATGTGTTTCAGCGTGGCGCTGTGATCACTGCATTCTTTACAATAGCTGACGAACCACATGCCACAAAAGCCAGTGGCCAGATGATGGGCCACACCTGTGTTTGACAGTGATCGACAGCGCCCGTCAATCCAGTTCTAATGCTCATTTGACTGACAGCTGCAGGCCACGTCACAGAGAAATGGGATGCCACGAAGTTAAAAGTCTGATATTGGGCCGATGCCAGAATACTGCTGATTTGGCAAGAGATTAGACCCTACAGAAGACAGACTGAAGCATATGCGATCCAGCTGCGAGAAACACAGAGTGCTGCAGGAATGACGTACTTTTGTAGGTCAAAACCCATAAACGAGTTGCATTTTAGCACTTTCAGTTCCATCCTCCTGAGGTTAATGGGTTTTTTTAATGTGTTTTTGGTTAAATGCCTAAACTCATCTACTCACTGGTTGCTTTCACAGCCTCATTATCAGGGAAAATCTTTTTAAAGACTGAAAGACTTGTCTGAAGCTTAATTGTAGTGATGCTGAAGTCATGTGACCGTGGTTTACTTCGTTTATAGCCTACTTTTAGCATTTTACTTCTGGTGATCGTATTTAGGCATCAGAATCCATAAAGTTGTGTTCATTTGTGAAAATTGTCATGATGAACAAAATGTGTAAGAATCAAACTTTTGTTAGTCACAGAGCTTATTTTCGACAATAATCCTAAAACCAAGGAAAATCCTACTGTGTTTTTGTGGAGGGAATCAGAGTGATATCGAAGTAGAGATCCAGCCTGATCTTACCTGAACGGTTTTCTTGATTCTGTGAGAGGGTCCGGGATACTCTGGAGAATACAAGTCTGTCAGGAACAGGGAGTTGATGAGTGTAGACTTCCCCAAACCTGATTCTCCTGCAGGACAGAGAACGAGAGGTTACGCCAGAGATTTCAGGACGTGACTCACTCATCACTTCTGTTGGACGGTGAACAATGACTGAGTGGAATTTGAGTCTGCAGATTTCCACAGAATCTGAACAGCCATCATTCCCACGGTCTCCATTTGCATGCCTGTTCATTTAACATTTTGGTCAACTTGTGGCGCCTGCTAAGGCTATGGTCCTATGAAATGCATTTTATTTTTCCCAGATTCTGTTTGAAACTTTGTGTTTCCCATTTTAATATTTTTGTAATTCTGTTTTAATAGTGTAAGTTTTAAAGGGACAGTTCACCCAAAAACGAAAATTTTCTCATGATTTACTCATCCTTAAGCCATCCTAGGTATATATGGCTTTCTTACGAATACAAATAAATTATATATATATTATATATATAAATTATCGAAATTATATAAAAAAAGTGTCCTGGCTCTTCCAAGCTTTATAATGGCAGTGAATGGGTGTTGAGATTTTAAAGCCCAAAAAAGTGCATCCATCCATCATAAAAAGTGCTCCACACGGCTCCGCTTCTGAAGTGAATCGATGCATTGTGTAAGTATCTATAAACCGTAATCTCTAGCTTCCACTAACTGTTGTGCGTCTGTTCACGAGAGAGTGGCGTTCAGCGGATGACGTAAGACGTAGGTGTAGAGTAAGCTCCGGCGAGAAGTGACGAACGCAGAAGCGCAGAGAAGAGAGCAAAACAAAACACCGGTCACAAATTAGAAGTACAAAACTAAGATTTGTAAAGAAACATGTGGGATGATTTCCATGGTTTTCCTTTGTTGTAAACAAAACTTGGTTCTCATGAGACTAGCATATTCTCACCGGAGCTTAGACTACGTTTTACGTCATGGAACACCACTCTCTTGTGAATGCGCGTACCAGTTAGTGGAAACTAGAGATTATGGTTTATAAAGTTTTAAATGTGGATATTTTCTTACACAAATGCATCAATTCACCTCAGAAGGCCTTTATTTACCCCCCAGAGCTGTGTGGAGCACTTTTTAATGATGGATGGACGCACTTTTTTGGGCTTCAAAATCTCGACCAACATTCACTGCCATTATAAAGCTTGGAAGAGCCAGCACAATTTTTAATAACTCTGGTTGTATTCATCTGAAATAAGAACGTCACACCTAGGATGGCTTGAGGGTTGGTAAATCATCGGGTAATTTTCATTTTTGGGTGAACTGTCCCTTTAATTATTGAAGCATTTCATAAAATTTTAACAGTAATGGGGCCTTTTTTCCATCTCCAAAATCTGCTTAAATTCATCTGGATTTTATACAAATATTTATACAATGGTAATCAAATCAATTCATAAAACTTTAACAAATGAATCATCTTTTAAAATGTAAAAAACAACAACTTTACATTAAGCCAAATTAAGTCAAATTAAAGGGATAGTTCACCCAATAATGAAAATTCTGTCATTAATTACTCACCCTCATGTCGTTCCAAACTCTTAAGACCTTCGTTCATCTTCAGAACACAACTTATAACAATAATATTAAGATATTTTTTATGCATTCCGAGAGCTCTCTGACCCTCCCATAGACAGCAAGGATCCTTACACTATCAAGGCTCAGAAACGTAGCAAAGAGATCGGTAAAATAATCCATGTGACATCAGTGGTTCATCCGTAATGTTATAAAGCTACGAGAATACTTTTTATGTGCAAAGAAAACAAAAATAACGACTTTATTCAACGATTCGTCAGAACAGCATACGTTGTTTACATGCGTTAATTATACACCAATTTTACTGGATTCAATTAATATGTCCACTTTTTGCTGAAATCATAGGCCCCTATAAGGCCCAGCATTACAAATCTACCAAATTCAGCACTTGGAAAGCCTGAGATGCTGCAGTTTTTCAACTTAACTCTAAAAACAGGAAACCAGTCTGGAGGAGTGGCATAATGAGATCAACTCTGACATGAACTTATATGGGGTCGTTCCCTGCCTGCGAGTCTGGGAAAATGCAGACGGCATCAGAAATTTGTGGAATTCCATAAACCACAAGAGAATACAACTATTTAGCTGGATAGATGGAGGGAAATCTAAACAGTCTGAAACTCGGAGTATATGATCAAGTACAAACCAGGAGAAGAACCAGAGGGTGTGCCGAGAACCAAGACAAAGAAGATGTTCACAAGACATTATAAACTTTATTAGTGGTGTTTGCCAAGACAAGCATCAATTTCACCACTGCTCATACTTAACCTTTAACCCTTGACTCTAAGTGTTCAACTTTAGCATGCAACTCGTCCAGCACAGTTTGCGCTACGGACATGAACAGTACCTAAACTCATCTGGATTGCAAAAGTATGCAGTTACTTAAACTTGATTAAAAATACAGTAAAAATAATAAAATGTCAAAATATTACTATAATTTACAATAATGATTTTCTATTATATATATATATAAAAAAAAGACATTTATTCCTGTGATCAAAGCTGAATTTTAAGCATATGATCCTTCAGAAATCAGTTTAATATGCTGATTTGCTGCTCAAGAAACATTTCTGATTATTATCAATGTTGAATACAGTTGCTCTGCTTTTTATGCAAATAGATGGTAGTTGTTATATGTTGGAATGGTTGTCATATGTTGAATTGATTAATTGACCACAGATTTTTGGGTGAACTTTTCCTTTAAGTAGTTATGCTCTAAATCACTCCACGCAAGACACAATGATAGATGAACAGAAAGGTGACTATGAGCAGAAGGCTTACTAGAGCTAATTACAGAGTCCTTCACTGAACTCTCCGTAAAGAATGATGACAGATCAGGGCTTTCCTGTCAGCCGCCCAAAAATGCTAAACTGCGGTATCTGTAACCCGCCCTGTCTCTGTGCGTTACGAAACTCAGTTTGTGCCGTGTCAAACCCTTACAGGCCTGCCCTGAGCAGATGAAAAACAACACACATCCATCTAACCGTCTGTATTTCACAACATTAACCATTACGGAACACACTCCTCAAACACTACAGTAAGTTCTGCAATCAGGGAAATCTAAACAAGAGGCACTTAGTGCTATGGAAAGCCGGAGCAGAGGGAGGTGAGAGTCCTGAGAGTCCACTGAAGCAGCTCAGCCCAAAGCCCACCAGGCGGACCGGCGAGGGTCCGGCTCGCTTCCTTTAAAGGAAATATCCCACAGCTGTGTAAACCAGGAGGGTTTACTCCAGAGGAACTCCCCATCGCATGACAGGGGAGGGGGAGCTGGGAAGCAGGAAAAGCTCGGGACTGCGCTGGGAGGGACAGAGTTTACTACGAACTTCCAAAGAACTTTCACTGGCATGGATAAAGGCAGAACGCAAGAAAGAAGACCTGCTATGTGCTGTCAGAATGAACAATTTAAAGGTTCACCCAAAATTAAAATTCAGAGAGCTACAGTATGCAGAAGTGAAGATTTTTTTTCCGGACACATTACATGGCTCCATAAAATCTGGATTAAACCACTGGAGTCACATGGTTTTATGGCATATTTTGAGCGTGAAAGTTTTAATTTCCTAGACTTTCACACTTTATTTTATTTCAATATAACCTTCTAACAGTGTAATTATACATTTAAGTACGGAGTAACAGTAATTAGCAATAGGGTTTGGTTTAAGGTTATTTGTATGTAATTATGCATAATTTCTGTTATTACTACAGTAACTACATGTAACGTGTAACAAAGACGCTGTAAAAAGTTTTACCAAAATATCATTAAGATATTAAGATGCTTGTGTTTCTGAATAAATAAAGCAGTATCAATGTCATAAAATCACAAGTTTGTTTTGATTTAAAGGCCAGAAGCTATAGTTTATATGAATAAAAATCACAAACACTTGTAAACTAAATAATGTAATATATACAGATTTATTCTTTAATATTTTTTTTTCAAATGGATTATGAAAACTTGTATACAATGCACTCTCATTAAAAAAAGATCTTTTATAATGCTTATTAGTTCTAAAAAAATAAGTTTTTGCTCAAAAATATCCAAAATTAAAAACAATTTGTTTATAATTTCCACACAGGAGAGACTTGGTGGTGTTTCAAAACAAAGGGAAATCGGTATCGGCATCGGTTATCGGTCAAAATGATTTGAAAAATATCAGCATATCGGATATCGGCAAAAATATTAATATCGTGCATCCCTAGTACCCAGCCTTTTTATCATATCACATTCAAATGGTAAATAAAACCGAAATAAAATTATTGGTGCTGCTGATTACATCCAAACCAAATATAATTCAGTAAGCAAACAAATGTAGGACAAAAGACCAATCATTATTCAGTATGCAATTCAGAAGACCAATAGTTCGTTATGCAAACAGATGTAAGAAAGGACAATTGTAATTCAGTACGCAAATAAACGTCCAATATTGCAGTCGGTTTACTGATGGAGTGCAATAAAGGACACTAGGTGTTTTAAAACTTATCTTAATTTTTGTATACTTTCTTAAAATGTAAGCTTTAAGTTAAAAAAATTAAAATCCAGAAACAGCTAGCACACCTAGGCTAAACGTGTAATGATATCCAAACTATTTAAGGATTATACGTACACTGTTGCTGTACAACCACTGTAAAAACTTAAAAGCAATCAGCAAGTAAAGCTTAACAAAGCCACTAATCCTTAACACTGATAATAAACTAATCTAAAAAAGGGAGAAGAAAGAAGAACAGACTTAAATGCCTCTACATCAGCCAAGATCAAGGTCAATCCTTACAAGCAGCTGGTTAATCACTGGTAAATATTGACTTTAACCAGCCTCATGACTCTATCCTACTGTCAGTCAACAGACAAGTCTGAAACCATGGACAACCCTAGTGTGCATCCCACCGAGAACAGACGAACGGTCTTAAACAACAACATCTGCGTCTTTATCATTCAAAGAGAGAGAGAGAGAGAGCTGGAAGTGTTTAACAGCACTGCACTTCTTCAATTACTATGCCATTCTAATTACACGCTGTGCACCAAATTGCCATCTAAAAGCTCATTTCATGCCCAGCGTGCAGCAGAGGGGGAACTCCAGAGCGTAGCTGCTCCAACACTCCTCCCAAAATCCCATGGAGACGGAATTCTGAAATACTGACCAGTCAGAAACGCAGACTCAGTTCTGGATTGTGAGCAGGATGTGAGGTGACCCCAGGTGGGCGTCAGGGCCAGTTTCAGGCCGTGTTGTGCTTGAAGTCTGAAGAGCTGACGGTAGAGGTAGATACGAGTCCTCAGGCCAAGCTAAATGAATGGGATTACAGGAAACTTCCAAACCACTAGGCCACGCTTACACACACACATTCCAAAGGAGGGAAAAAACCCCAGGTCCATGGGAGAATGGGAAGAACATTTGTTTTGAATGTTCATTTCTTCAAGCCCTGCTCTCTCATTCTGTTCTGCCATGTGAAATCCATCACTGATGCATTCCAGCGCACAGCTGCCAGCGCCTGGCATGAAGCGGCCCGTGTGAAACCGTATACCGCTAGACACATGAGCGCATATAATCCACATAGCGCTGCATGCTGGGTCAACAGCCCTCTATTTCTGACCCCGTTTTCATTAATGTTTCACTCAAGCTTTTTTCTTTAAGTCACAAACCTCAAAAAGAAATCTGTTTTTAAATGGACAGTTTACTCAAAAATGACAATTCAGGCATCAGTTATTTGGCTTGAAGCCATTCCAGCCCATATGACTGTGCTATGGAAGCCTGTTTCTGCCACTGAATAAAACAACTGAAAAAAGTAATTGCGACTTTCCATATCACAATTTTGAGTTTTTTTCTCGCAATTGCAAAATTCTGACTTTTCTCTAAGAATTGCGCAATATAAACTCACAATTATGAGCTATAAAGTCAGAATAAAAATAGGCAAATAGGCAGAATTGTGAGTAAACTCACAATTGCGAGAGAAAAAAAAAGTCAGAATTGTGAGATAAAAAGTCACAATTACCAGAAACAGGCTTCCATACTTTCCTGCTTTTGTGAAACATGAAAGAAGAAATTTAGCAGATTGTTCATGCTGCTCTTTTCTATGCAATGAAAGGGAATGAGGACTGTTCAGCTATTACATTTTATTGTGTGATCCACGGAAGAAGTCATACTGGTTTTAGTTGAGTAAAATTATGACTAGTTTCTTTTTTGGGTGAACTATTTCTTTTAATGGTCTATAAAAAGTTCAAAACTTTGAAAATAAAGGTCTATTAGATATTGCAAAAAGCCATTGCAGGCTTTAGTTATCAGTGCCCTCAAGTGACACATGAGCTTTCATTTACGGTAAAAAGAGGAATTCAATGGCCAGCAGTGGGATAAACAGGACAGAAGATACTCACCGACGACCATGAGAGTGAACTCGAAGCCCCTCTTCACAGACTTTCTGTACACTTGGTTGGGGAGATTTGCGAATCCCACGTACCCCTCAAGGTTCTTCTGTTGCTGTAGACCAAAACCAAACACAGTCAATGGCTTTAGCAGGCATGACTGACAAAACACTACAAATGAGAAACACGTAGGCGGCCCTCTGTCACGACTGCACACGGTTACTGTTAACACCTTCATGAATCTTCAGAAACATTTGGTTTGACACTCAAATAACAGCATAGAAACATGGCTATAATAATGCATGGGCTTTTTTCAAATTAGCCTACTTAACATGCTAGCTACCACACAATCCACACGGTCTGAGGTATTATTCATGTTTGTAGCATGAATAAAGTGGGATGCACAGTGTGGGACACTAAAGTTTGATACTTAGAATTATGGATTTAAACAAACCATTGACTCTAAATATGAGTGTTTGTAACAGCCGTAAAACACAGATTCTAATATCTAATACTAGATTTTGAGCTAATTAGCAGCACAGGCTCCAGATTTTAGAGATCTTTTGAGGAGCTGAACAACATATCCATTTGTAGTTTGTCCAGGCGTTTGAAATGACTATGCATACTTACTGCTACTTTGGAGAGCATTCAGATCATGTTGTTCCACAGATCGATGGATGAATAGATGAAGAGGTGATCAGATTCCACCAGGCAGGGAGAGAGGCATCCACATAAACAAAATAAAACACAAAGAGACAGAATGAGACAACGATAGGTAACAGCTGAAGTACATTAAGAGGTCTGCAACTCACTAAGAGCTTCAACAAAACCATTGGTCTGTCAATCCAACCAATGAGGACAAAAGCTGTGTTATTAACATCCATCTGAGGTGAACCAATCACACGTGATCAATCAAACTACATTCAAATAGTCACATTACTACAGGTGTAAATGACCAATAAGGTATGGACACTACTTGAGTTTAAGAAAAAAGATTCTGTAAATATCAGTTTATTTTAGTCCTAATACCAAGCCTGTAGTGTTTTCCCAATGCTGCACGACCAAACCACTTCTCTAAACATACAGAATTACAGAAAAGCCAGAAATGGGGCTTTAGCGCTAGACTTTCACAGTGCTCAGGCTGCCAGTAAAACGGACTTAATTGAAAAATCATCTCACTGAATGAACCAGGCCTTCCCTGAATAGCATTTTCTTTCTGCTGAAACAGCAAATCATCAAATGCATGGATCTGTGATTGCAGCACATAAAAACCCCAACTCATTTGAATATCAAAACCTTCATGTTATTCTGCTAACACTACAAAAGCAAACGTCCGGGAGGAACACCTGCAGCTTGACAGACAAGCCGCCTGTGATGATGATTCAGAAAGTCAACTGCAACGTACAGTAAAAGAGTATCAAATCAGCTCAGGACGACTCATGCATTATATTATTTAGCATTATATAGCCTAATCTTCTAAAGTCAGAACAGATCAACATTTATGCTATAGTTATTCAGTGACAATCACATTTTCACAACATCAGTAAATGGTTCAAAGACTTAAAAAGGGGGTTTAAGCATCAAAACAATAAAAGTTTAGAGCTTTAAATGTATTTTTCCCCCAATACATTAGAATGTTTTTTTACAGAAGACACCAACTAAAATGTCTTTCAGTGTAACAATAGCTCAATATAACAAAAAATCTTGTCAAGCATATTTAAACCTAAAATCATTGCATGACATTAAAAGACTATTACAGCCCCCAAAAACTAGTTAATTGTCATTCTAAAGCTTTACCAATCTTTGCCACTGTCCTTCAAACCACTAGGTTTTACCCATTTGTCAGCAAGATGTTTTTAATCATTTAGCTAAAATATTAAAAAATTTAGAATGATCAGATTTTCTTCTATATATTTTAATAAGTGCAGGTCAGAATACGCATGTCGTTTCATTTTTATATATATCTGTTAAACTGAATGACCATGGGACATTTCAGCTAGGGCTGGGCAATTTTTCCGATTAATTTGAATTGTATGTTTTGCCACGATTTTATTTTTTTAGAAATTGAGGAATCACGATTTTGAATAAAAATATTACTAAACACTTTGACAATATGCCAATGATAACAGTAAAGAGAAAAGAGCTGTACAACCGCATGTCGGTGCACGTGATTAATCGCTCACGTGTGACGCGCTCATATCGCGAAGTGCCATTCACGCGGAATATGCTTTTGTGTTGAAAAAGATGCGACGCGGGCAGAGGAATAGGAAAAAAATGCAAGAAGATGCGAGTTGAACGTCTTTTAACTTGAGCGCAGCGTTTTTAGAATGCCGTTTCATGCATGAGAAGTGAGCGCAACAGTCAAAGGCATCCATGTTTACACAGAAAAAAACAATGGAAAAGCAGCGCAATCGAATAAAAAAAACCTGTAAAGAACCACTAGGCCTACTGTATGTCTGATATTTCATGTTTTTATCATGGTGACAGGATGAAAGCTGCTGTTCATTGTTTTTACAGAACATTTATAGTTCAAAATAGTCTACTGGTGTTATACCTGGTCATTCTGAATTTGAATTACCTTGACTTTTGAGAATTATTTTTTTTTTTTTAAGCATTTTCCTTGTATTATTTCCGAACATATAATATGCATAAGACAAGTTTGTACAAGATGTAGTTGTTCATGCATCTTTTCTGCAATTTCTGCAAAATGTATACTAAAATAAGTAGTCATTCAGTGATAATCACGTTCACACAATTCAAAAATACAACATTATAATCAATTTTACATCTTAAGAGAACCAATGCCATTTAACATAAAGTGCATTTAAATGCACTTTAAATTATTGTTTTCATTGGAAATAAAGCAAAAATTCAACTTCCAACTGACTACTCCTATGATTTTACCAGTCTGATTTCTGCCAAGTCGAACAAATGTTTCCTTTTCAGGTGTATGATCCCTTTAAGATGAATTATTACTGCATTTATGTTGCTCGTCTTGGAGATTTTGTCCTCTCTTACTCCATTTTAACCACCCACACAATGAATAAGCAATGCTCTTTCCTGAAACTACACATGAAAGTCTGTTACAAATATCCTGCACCACTTCCTACTGATGTTATCGTTGGGTGTTCTTCTAGAGGGCTGGTGTGAGGTGTGAACACACGAGTACACGCAGAGGAAGTCTGATCTCACGGGGGGAAACTGAGAGGGCGTATATGTTCCTTCTTCCAGGTTAAACGCCTGTCAAAGCCAAGACGCTCAGCATATTTGAAGGGGAACATCTCAGTGAACCATTACAGTAAAATGCTCTGATGCAAATTTGGATGGTCACAACAACCCAGCAAAAACTGAACTAAAACCTACATTTCCCTGTGGTGAAGCATTGACAGAAATAGTCCACAAGGATTCACACAAGCAAAAACAAAAACACACATGTGATATACATTACTGCATCTCAAGGTCACATTCTGGGTCACTGATGTGGGTTATTATGGGATAGATGGATGCCTTCACTCAGTATATGGCCATGAATGTAAAGGTTTAATTAAGTTTCATTGCGTGTCAAGCAGCTTGGACACTCTGCAATATCCTTCTTGTTCATTCCACAGAACAGATAAAGGTAACAGGTTTGAAACGTCATGAGAGCGAGTAAATGATGACAGAACTTTCGTTTTTGGGTCATCTATCCCTTTAAGGGATTTTTTCGATGACACCACAACCATTACCTTGCAGAGATCTAAAGGGAAGATGAGAGCGAGACAGTGACTGCAGTCCTGAAACAATGACATGTTTTTGTATGTGGCTTAACTGCCGGAAGAGATGTGGTAGACAGACAGAAAGGCAAAGCAACGACAAGGAGTAAATGAGATACAGCGATATCTATTTCTGATAAGACACATTTTCGACTAGTACTTCACAGGATATGACTGACTCGCAAGTGTCAACAGGGTCCAAAATTAACTGCAAACTGCACAATTCATATAGATGTATAAAAAAGTGATTCAGATGCAAAAGGGATAATGACCCTAAACCAGTGTTTCCCAACCTTTCTTTAGTCGCTGCACCCTTTGGAAATTTTAACAAATTTGTGGCACCCTACAAAATTAATTTTGTCACAATATTTGAATTTCTAACTTCGATATGATACTTTGAAAAGTATAGATATTCGGTACAGCAAGGAAAAAATGCAGAATATACTGTCATACAGATATTTTTAATATTATAAATAAAATGTGTCTATCAATGGTGGCAATCGGTAGGCTAATTTCTAATGAAAAGACCAATTTATATGACAAATTTTAATGTAGGCTTTTATTCATATGTAAACATTGTGAGATAGCTAGTTTTAATGGTAATTAAACAAAGTTTTGCTCACTCACTGTATTTTTGATTTTACAGCGGGGTAATTTTGTTGCAGTAGCACGAGATAGCTTGATTTAAAACTCTGAATTGAATAAAAAAATGTTAATAATACAATAAGAACAAAAAGAAATGAGTAATGATAGCACAAATAAAAAATAACGATAGGCCAACAAATTAAATAAATAGCTTTTTAGTTTTTCGGGTAGGTCTAACACACAGTAGGGCTATTAAGAGATTTTTTTTTTTACCAATTATCCAAATAATGTTTAATCCTAGAAAGCTATTATTATCAGAGGACACGTGAGGAAGGGAAGAGCCTTTTTATTTATTTATTTTCTTTCAAAAATGATGTGCTTTCCATTTAAAATGTTCTGTGTTCCAATTTAATGATTTAATTACATTTTAATAATCAAAAATCATATCTAATCAACAGAATTTTTACAACTGTAACAATTAATCTTTTAAAACAACATTAAATGAAAATTAAACTAGGCTATTCCTTTTTGGTAAAGTGCTGCAAAACAGAAGTTTACTGTTTAAATTAAACACGGACAAAAATTATGACATTTCTTAAAAAAAAAAAAAGTGTAGATCAATTTTATTTTTATTATTTTGTCTACTATTTTGAGGAATGCATACTAGAGCACAATAGTGATATATTTCTGTCATAATTTCTTCAAGTAAATCAAACGTTTATTTTGACAGGTTTAAGTGAACACCTTTTGAGAGTTTCTGTGACGATAGTTTTCTCAAACGAAATGGTGAAATGCTGGTGAAGTGACTCTCAGAGATTTATTCATCCAAAACTCTCCAAATTGTGTGATATTAGTAAATTCCATTTTATGACTGGATTTTGCGATTCTATCTTCATTTTCCGTATCATTGAAATCATATGGTGGTACTAGGATCTTGTCGACTCATGCCGTCTGGTTTTCTCATCACACACTCAATGAAAGCAGTCAGACAATACGCCCCATAAAAAGGCTATTCTGACCACCCACAGTTCAGACACACATTCTCTCTCAAGATTTCAGCTGTAAACTATTCACTTAAAGGGGTCATATGATGCTGCTAAAAAGAACATTATTTTGTTTATTTGGTATAATGAAATGTGTTTATGCGGTTTATGGTTCAAAAAACATTTTCCACATACTGTACATTATTGTTTTTTCTCTATGCCCCGCCTTTCTGAAACGCATCAATTTTTACAAAGCTCATCGGTCTGAAAAGAGAGGTGTGCTCTGATTGGCCAGCTATCCAGTGCATTGTGATTGGCCGAATACCTCAAGCGTGTGACAAAAATTGTTACGCCCCTACCATACTGTGATGCCCTGTCCGGCCGGAGCGTAACATAAAACCATGACACATTATTTTCCACATACTGTACATTATTGTTTTTTCTCTATGCCCCGCCTTTCTGAAACGCATCAATTTTTACAAAGCTCATCGGTCTGAAAAGAGAGGTGTGCTCTGATTGGCCAGCTATCCAGTGCATTGTGATTGGCCGAATACCTCAAGCGTGTGACAAAAATTGTTACGCCCCTACCATACTGTGATGCCCTGTCCGGCCGGAGCGTAACATAAAACCATGTCTGCATTTGTGATCGGAGAAATTACAAACAACAAGTGCTACTCTACACTGCCCACAAAAAACTTGCGTTTGAATCGTCAGTGGCAAATTCTTTAAATATAAAAAACATACTTACAGTCTGTGAGTCAGAACAGCCGGCATTGTAGTCTACTCTCCCAGGATCAGGAAACAGTCCTCCATAAAATGTGCTGCACACATCTGAATATTTGGGTTGAACTGTTCTGGAACAGTGTTGTAAATACAACTTAACCACTGATTTCTAGTTGTGTTCTCTTTTGGAAGGGCAAACAAAGTTTCGCTTTCACAACGAAAAAGCGTCACACACCGCGACCTAGAGTATGCGGAGGCCGGCTTGAGTGAGGAATGGCCGGGGCCTAGAGTGAGCAGAGGCGGCGGGCTTGAGTTGAAGTATTTCCTCAGCGATCAGCACAGATCAGCTCCAGGCATGACGAAGTGGATATCGTCCTCTTTTGGAAGACCAAACAAAGTAGTTTTGCTTTCACAACGAAACACACAGCGTCTTCATGACATGGCCGCGGCGGTAACAACAATACTACAGCGAGAATAAAAGTTAAGCCTTCTTTCTTTGCGCGAACATTTGGGTGGCGTTATGCAAATCTTCCCACATCGTGATGTAGACATGTGGGGGCGTGTTAGAACGAGACGTTTTAGGGGGGTGTGGTTGACTCTTAACTTTTATAAAGAATATCTCTTTGGATTTGAAACTTTAGTCTTTGCAACTTTACAGATCTTCTTTATGCACCAAGAGCTTGTAACACTCCAAAGAGAAAGGAAAACTTGAAATCGCATCATATGACCCCTTTAACATCCAACTCAAGGGCTGGAAAGTCACTATTGGCGCTTTTCCACTGCGTGTTACGACTCGGCACGGCTCAGTACGGCTCAGCTCGGTTTGCGTTTCCACTGCAGTTTAGTACCGCATTAGAGTGCACTCTTAAAAATAAAAGTGCTTCAAGATGCCATAGAAGAACCATTTTTGGTTCCACAAAGAACCATTCAGTCAAAGGTTCTTTAAAGAACCATCTCTTTCTTACCTTTTTATAATCTGAAGAACCTTCTTTTGCCACAAAGAACCTTTTGTGAAACAGAAAGGTTCTTCAGATGTTGAAGGTTCTTTATGGAACCATTTAGACAAAAAGGTTCTTCTATGGCATCGTGAAGCACCTTTATTTTTAAGAGTGTGGGTGGGATTATTCACATGTTATTATAGTTGCGCCGCCTCTACTGCCGCGACTCCTGAAAAACTTTTTCATTCCGCGTCGCCCCATCAAGCTCTCGCTGGATCCGCTCCTCTGCTATCAACGAGAGGAACGTCTGTACTTCCTCAACAGACCACAAAACAGCCATTTTTTGGTTGTTAAAAAAAGGTGGGCTCGTTCAAAACAGTTGCGTTCGATCCTTCGCTGGCTGTGCTGATTTAAATCTAGTGGTTCTGTTGTGTTTGAGTCGCAAGTTCAGTGATGCAGGTAATGACGATTCTCTCCGGCCAATCAGTGATCAGCAGAGTTTACACGTCACGTTTTGGTAACGGTACGGTTCACTTGGAACCCCAACCGAGGTGGTACTGAAAAAAGTACCAGGTACTGTACCCAGTGGAAAACCCCCCAAAAGGGAACCGTACCGAACAATACCGTGCAGTGGGAAAGCGCAATATCACATCTGCATCCAGGACCAAAATAGATTCACGTCCACAAAAGAGGCGAATCCCAGCTGTTTTCATGTAAGACCCTGCCTTAAAATCCTGATTTCTTCCCTTTTGGTGAAGGATGAAATCCACGGAATTCAGGATCAAATTCAACAAATTGTATTTTTGTTTTATGAAGCCTCAGGACTAACCATGAAAAAAACAGTCAAATGTGAATGGACAGGACCGATTCAAGCAATAGCCATGTGATCCAAACATCACGGGAATATATAAAGGAGCAATTCTTCCCACCAAACAAGGCTCTTCAGCCACACCAGAGATCTCACTCACAGATGATCATGCTGTGTGTTGCTATAGGACAAATATCTTTTGTAGGCTTCATATGAGATGTTATGCTGCTTAAACGTAAAGGTAAAATCAGCTAATCTACATGCAACATCTTAAATATGAACTTTAAGATGAAGTCTGCATGAATCAAAACTGACTCTTTGTACTTTGTTAGCACACATTACTAGACATTTGATGAACAAATAATCCATGCAAGTAATCCAGTGGGGGAAATCAAATAAAATAAAATAAAGTGTTCTTCAGTCAAATTCGGAAAATGTGCTTCGTCTCTGTTTGATGATATCAGTCTGACAGCTTGGGCAGAACATCCTAAACCCGCCGACAAACATGAGCCAATATACGTCTCAAAAAGTTGAGTACGCAGACTTCAATTATCATCACATTTGGAGATGGAAAAAAACTGGTCATGCAATTTACGTTTAAAAAGGAAAAACGAATGTTTTTGTATCTGTGCATTTCTTGTAAAACGTGTACAAGATGGATTATTTGGGTACAAACAAATCAATCTGTTTACAGATCTAGCCAACGCATCTATCCACCCATTCATCTACCACCTATCTATCTCCACGTGCCCAATCCATTAACCTATCCACCCCATCTATGTGCTATATACTAGATCTATCCATCTATCTATTAACCTAATGGCATTAGATCCATCTACCTATTAATGGTATATAATAGATTCTCTGCAGCAGGGGAGTCCAATCCTGCTTCTGTAGGGGCCCCTTTCAGGTGTTTAGCTCCAACACACCTGCCTGAAAGTTTCCAGTACTCTAAAACAGCTTGATTAGATGGTTCATGAGTACAAATATATACTATATCGTGTGTGTTCAATTAGTGCTGGAGCGAAACCTACTGCAACACACACACACACACACTTGAATATTTCTCCAGAGCTGAGAGAGACAGACACAAGGAGGAGTTTCTCTGTCTGGCCACAGCACTGCGTTCACTGCTTAAGCCCGTCCTACCGGTGTTTTCACGGACAAAATACTGTGGTAATGCCATATTTTGTTTATTATGGTACTCAGTCCGATGAAAATACCACAGCACAATGACTGAGTACTATGGCGTTACTATCGGATACATTCGTTGTGCCACCCACAGTACACTTTTGTGAGCGTAACCATTAAAATAAACTACTTAGACTAGAAAAGAGACAGTAATCGGTATGATAATGGCATAGAGAGTGCAGACTAGACTGAAACAGGAGCTCGAGCAGATCTATTCGTCTATTAACCCGCTCAGGAAACGCATCTGCCGCGCGCAACAACGCACGCGTACTCAAAACACACCGCACAAACGAAGCTATAAAGCTGCTTACAGAAGAGTTTGACAAGCCGCGAGTTTAATAAAGCGACAGAGAGACTAAACACTCACCCATTCTGTTGACGCTCCCGGCCGCCTCTGTAACCGATCTCTCGCCGATCGACATTGCCTTTCTCCAGCTCACGGTCCGGCCCACAGGCGTACGTCACATTTCTTGCGTAGTCTCCCTTGACAACCGCTGCGGCTGCGGCGGTGGCGTATCTTTGGTGAATCGCGTCCGCACAAATCTCGCGATATCTCATGTAAACCACACTGGTCTATTTACTTGAACCTAATATTCAAGTAAATAGGCTACTTGAATATTAGGCTACATTCATATTTTACTACATTACTGTCTCTTTTTCTTTTATATCTAATAATATGTGACCCTGGAGCACAAAACCAGTCATAAGTAGCACTGGAATATTTGTAGCAATAGCCAACAATAGCCTACTTTGTATCGATAATTATCGATTTTTCTTTTATGCCAAAAATCATTAGGATGTTAAGGAAAGATCATGTTCCATGAAGATATTTTGTAAATTTCCTACCGTAAATATATATATATAAAAATATTAGTAATATGCATAGCAAAAAACTTCATTTGGACAACTTTAAAGGCTATTTTCTCAATATTTAGATTTTTTTGCACCCTCAGATTCCAGATTTTCAAATAGTTGCATCTCAGCCAAGAGAGAATCAATGCTTCCACCTGCTGGCTAAAGGATATAGCAGAATAACACCTTGTTAACAGTTACAAATCCGTTCCATTACTTATTGCATGACAATTGTAGTTAGTTAGTAACATAATCTGGATTGCACATATTTAGTTATGTAGTTTTTGATTACTTTTTGACCTAACTCATTTATCAAATAAAGCTAAATGGGATTCTTGTGTACCATATTCTGTAAAGAGAGAGAGAGAGAGAGAGAGAGAGAGAGCAGGGTTTTACAAATTGGGGTTTGTGAAAAAACAGTAGGGTGTTGATGAAAATGTCAAAATTCAATGACAAGTAATATAAAAATGTCAAATTGTAAATATTTTAAACGTGAAAAACAATTGACCGATGTGGTCAAATGTTGACCGACATTGTACATGATTACTAGCAGGTAGGTTCATTTAGAAAGGAAAAATTAAAAGAAAAAGAAAAACGGAATAATTTACTGCCACTGCGTGAATAATACGAAATCATGTAATCCATAAAATTAAGATTTGGAATCTTAATTGTGTAATCCAGATTACATTGCAATTACTACCTGTTTGATAATATATTCATATTAAATAAAAATTATGTACATTTAATGCCTGCCAACATCAGTTCATGTTGCACCATAGCGTAGTCTCGCATAATGGTTAATTTTGAACAAACCCCTTTTTAAGTAATAAACATAGGATACTATATGAGTGCTTAGTGCAAAATATTACAAAATCATGCAAAATGAAAGCAAAAGTTAATAAGAATTCCCTTAAGTTCAGTTATGCATTGCTAAGTCCTTTGCAAGTATTTCACATTAAAAATGGACCAGTTAAGTCCTTTTGGCTTATAGCTTTATGACGGTTTTCAAAGATCATTGAAGTTGTCGGCAAGAGGTACTTTATATTAACTTGTTACATGTTTCCATTTTTGTTTATATCATATCCTGGAAAAGATTTAACACAAGACGCTAAACAAGTTCATTTATTGCTTAAGGTACAAGATCCACATCATATATACAAACCTAAATCATACAGAAAATAAGGCACCGGTGAATAATTCATGCATATAAAAATATATATATATATTCTGTTGATCCCAGCTTCTCCAACATTTTTGCTCAGTGCTTTGGCCAGCTTGGTCTCTCTTCAAAGCCACTGTACAGAAAAACAGAAATATTAAATTATATTATTATCTATTGTTTAAATTGGGAGACTGACTAAAATAAATCCATTATATCATATCCTGGAAAAGATTTAACACAAGACGCTAAACAAGTTCATTTATTGCTTAAGGTACAAGATCCACATCATATATACAAACCTAAATCATACAGAAAATAAGGCACCGGTGAATAATTCATGCATATAAAAATATATATATATTCTGTTGATCCCAGCTTCTCCAACATTTTTGCTCAGTGCTTTGGCCAGCTTGGTCTCTCTTCAAAGCCACTGTACAGAAAAACAGAAATATTAAATGATATTATTATCTATTGTTTAAATTGGGAGATTGACTAAAATAAATCCATGGCACTTGCTTTGATTTATAATGCTCCTCAGCTCCTGCTTGTGTCATGAGATCAGCGACGTTCTTCTCCAGGTCATCTATACGTGTTCCCATCTCGTCCAGTTCAGGCATTAAGGAAAACCCTCAGTTCTTTGTGTAGCACAGGGGGTCTCCAAACCTGCTTCTGGAGAGCTACCGTCCTGCAGATTTCAGCTGAACCTGCTAATAAAGATGTTCAGGAACTGGAACTGGAGTCTGCAGGACGGTATACAGAGTTTAGATCCAACCCGGTTTCAACACGCATACCTGTCGTTTTCAAATAATCCTGAAGGACTTGATTAGCTGGATCAGGTTTTGTTTAATTAGGGTTGACGCTGAACTCTGCAGGGCTGTGGCCCTCCAGGAACTGAGTTTTACACCGCTGTAATAAATAGTTTCACACAGAATGAAGTCTGCACAATGAAGGAGTCCAAAGAATGTGAAAATGACATGAGACTCCAAACTGACTGAGGACCTTTGAAACATGCTCAAGATAAACAAAACTAAATGCATTTAGGTACTGTATAAACCTGATGTTTATAATGTTTTTGGAATGTACAGTAGACCGTTTAAAAGTGTAGGGTAGGTATGATTTTTAAGGTTTTTGGCTGCAATTATTTGATAAAAAAAAAATACAGTAAAAATAGTAATATTGTGAAATATTATTACAATTTCAAAGAACCATTTCTATTGTGATATATTTTAAAATGTGATTTTATTCCTGTGATCAAAGCTGAATTTTCAGCATCATTAGTGTCACAAGATCCTTCAGAAATCAGTGTAATATGCTGCTCAAGAAACATTTCTTATTAACATTTCTTAGAATTAAAACAGCTGTGCTGGGGCAAGTTCAAGCTCAAACCGGTGTGCACTGTTTTGCTACGGTTTCTGGTTTGAACGACATGTTTCCTGGAAACTGTGTGCAACGGGGTTTGAGATGCGCTTGCTCTTGTTTGGTGGGTGTGTCAAAAATGTCAGCTCAATTAGAGAAATCAGTGTAATATGCTGCTCAAGAAACATTTCTTATTAACATTTCTTAGAATTAAAACAGCTGTGCTGGGGCAAGTTCAAGCTCAAACCGGTGTGCACTGTTTTGCTACGGTTTCTGGTTTGAACGACATGTTTCCTGGAAACTGTGTGCAACGGGGTTTGAGATGCGCTTGCTCTTGTTTGGTGGGTGTGTCAAAAATGTCAGCTCAATGTGTCAAAAATGTCAGCTCTGTCTCTGACTGGTTTATACAATGTCAGCAACATGTATATAAACCAGAGCATGTGAGCGGAGCGGAGTGGGAGCGGAGCGGTAATATTTCCTTAAGAGCGCTTCGCTTCACATGCTCTGATATAAACCACGCGGTATTAAAGAGACAGCTCGCACAATGTAATTAACATCCAAATAAACTCACAAGAGCAAGTATATTGTTTGCACATATTTATTTACATTAAAGGCAAAATAACTGAAATAATAAGAGCACAAGTATAGATCTGGAACTTCTTTAAGTCTTTCTAAATATCATTTAGTAATTGCAATGCCTTCCGGTCCGTCCTTTCCTTAGGAAGGTATGCTAGACACTGATTAATGCAACGTAAAAATACTATACATATTTATATATTTTGCTACTGTATTGTGCAGTGACACTTTCATAAACTTTTCTATATTCCTCTGATTATATAATGGTAAATATTACAATATCATAGCACAACAACAGAGCTCAGTAATAACGAAAAAAAAATACAGTAAAAATAGTAATATTGTGAAATATTATTACAATTTCAAAGAACCATTTCTATTGTGATATATTTTAAAATGTGATTTTATTCCTGTGATCAAAGCTGAATTTTCAGCATCATTAGTGTCACAAGATCCTTCAGAAATCAGTGTAATATGCTGCTCAAGAAACATTTCTTATTAACATTTCTTAGAATTAAAACAGCTGTGCTGGGGCAAGTTCAAGCTCAAACCGGTGTGCACTGTTTTGCTACGGTTTCTGGTTTGAACGACATGTTTCCTGGAAACTGTGTGCAACGGGGTTTGAGATGCGCTTGCTCTTGTTTGGTGGGTGTGTCAAAAATGTCAGCTCAATTAGCAGCAACATGTATATAAACCAGAGCATGTGAGCGGAGCGGAGTGGGAGCGGAGCGGTAATATTTCCTTAAGAGCGCTTCGCTTCACATGCTCTGATATAAACCACGCGGTATTAAAGAGACAGCTCGCACAATGTAATTAACATCCAAATAAACTCACAAGAGCAAGTATATTGTTTGCACATATTTATTTACATTAAAGGCAAAATAACTGAAATAATAAGAGCACAAGTATAGATCTGGAACTTCTTTAAGTCTTTCTAAATATCATTTAGTAATTGCAATGCCTTCCGGTCCGTCCTTTCCTTAGGAAGGTATGCTAGACACCGATTAATGCAACGTAAAAATACTATACATATTTATATATTTTGCTACTGTATTGTGCAGTGACACTTTCATAAACTTTTCTATATTCCTCTGATTATATAATGGTAAATATTACAATATCATAGCACAACAACAGAGCTCAGTAATAACGATAAGCCGAATACTCACAATAAAAATAATAGGGTCATATAGATCATAACACAGTCTCGGAGGTAAGAAGTGGATTATCCTTCACCTGAAATGTTTGTCTTTTCATCCTG